TTTGAACCTTGGAACTCCCTTTTTGAAGCTGCTATTGTTTTGAGAATCTAATGAGCAACACCCACTTGTTAGCTTTCGTTGAGCCTTGCTGTACTCCGTCGAGGCTTTTGCATGGCCATGCTGTCTGTGTATTGTATGTGCTGCTGGATTTTTGAGTGTAATTTTAACTTGTGATGACCTAAGATGAAAATAAACATCTGGCATTTGAATGTAGGTAGGTACACGTGGAAGACGCTCAAAATATCGTCGTAGTTTGGGTAAGCCACTTGGATGTTCATAAAAATGACGGCAGAAAATTGTTGGGCTAATTGCTACATTAAAATGCAACACACAGGAAAACACTGCAAAACAAAAGCAATAACTATATAAGTATAAATTGTAGTAGCTAATATATCACGGTGATTTGTTTTAGAAACACGTTTATTTCACGTGACATTTAGTTATTAAATGCTAAATTACAAGATGTGTATGAATCCATTCTACGTGCTAAAATATTCCATCTAATGAAAAGATAAAAAATCCAATGGTCACATCAATAATTGCCGATAAATTATTCAATCAGCAGAGTGAAACCTGAAGGAGACGGTGGGGAGGATAATTGCACCGAGAATGCAATTCGATTCCACGTGGCCGTGGCATCGTATGTAAAGTACTCGCGCTTGAATTTCGTCTCCGCTTTACGGGATGCGGCAGCGAAAAAACTGATTGAAGTCTCCAATCTCATCGGTTCTCCTGTGGCCTGAGTAACTCATAACCGTGCTTTAAAAAAAACGTGCACGCCATGGATGCATACAAATAAGCACGTCGCTTCCGTTGAAGGCGCCCTCTTTGCCGCCAACAAAAACAAACCTGGTGGGGTTTTTTTGTTCTAAAGGCAAAAGGTTGCAGATCCTTCAAATGCTCGGCTCGCGACACCGCGGGTAAAGGAGCGTCCCTCCACTCGAGAAGGAGATTGAGACAGAGCCCCTCTGGGGGCTGCATCGCCCTTCTCTTCCACGCTGGCCAAACATTATGAAAGAGGAAAGAATAGCCACACTTTACCCCACCACACGCAACCAGACCATCGACTGTGGTGCACCCATTTATAACTGCCGGGAGGGGTTTAAGCAAGTGTGCACCATTGTTTCAACCTGCTGTGCGAGGGGGCGGGGGGTGAATCGGTTGACCTCTGATTTACAAGTCAAGTGCGATTACCATTACACCTTTAACAACCCTGGTTGTTAGCAGAGAGAAAATAAAAGATTGTTGTTTTTTTTCACGGCAAAAAATGCACAGCGCGTTGTCTGCAAGCCAGTGTCTCCTTTGCTCAAATGAGGCTTTCAGCCAGGGGTTCCAATTTCATATTCACGTGGTAGAGGTTATTCGCTCCTGAGAACAACCAACGGTGGCTTCCCACAAGGTGGTACTTTTTTATCGATCCTGGAGGGATGATGTGAGTGGACCCTTCGGGGGGAGGGGAGCGAGATCTGGACTCACAATCATCTGATTGTTAAGCCGAGTGCTCTTGGCAAAGCGCCAGACAACCCCTGAATACAGAACGCTCACAATGCCCGCGTGTATCCAAAACACACACAAAAAAAGAAGGCGGGCATCAGTTTTCCTTTTTAATTAAAACGAGGCTTAATTGAGAATTCACATCCGTGATATCACATTTGGTCCGTCACGTTGTCTTCGGTGAGCGTGCAGAACTGATCTTGTAATAATGTCAGCGAATACTCCGCGCGATGTACGCGCGCCGTCCTCCTTCCAGCCCCATGCCGACAGGAGAGGCGTCGCGTGCGGCAAATTGACGTTAAACGTCGCTCACCCTCACTCTGGTGAGAAGACTCTAGCGTCTCGACTGTGGTGCCGTGAGTGAGGACGCATCACGTGGCTCACGTGATGTGCTGCCCCTGCCGCTGCAATGGGCAGCATGGGGGCAGGCAGCCCTCAGACGCAAACCTCCAAGCGCTGCCATTCACAAGTCGGGGAAGGAGACCGACCCAACTCTCCATGTTCCCTCCATCAGTTTAAGTCTTCAAAGGATATATTTTCCGCTCATTACTCAAATTGTCTCCTTGCTCTCGCGAGATACCGGTGCCCGGTATCCTATAAACGAGTGGCCCCGACGCAATGATGGGAATTCTATATTAGTACGGCGAGGGTCGGTTTATTTCTGATACATCCACTGTTGACTTCGCACAAAAGAGGCACAATTTCTATTGACCTTGGAGTCATGATGGCTTAAGTGCCTCCTGATTAGCATAATCATCATCGATATCATCATGATCATCATCGACGTCACCATCATCCTCACCATCATCACTATCATCATCATCACTATCACCACTATCATCAGCATCAGAGTCACTGTCATCATCGTCATCATCACCATTTCGTGGTGGACAACACAAGCACCACCTGGTGAGGCTGCACCACTTCGTGCGCGGGAAGTCAACGGTTCTTTCCCTATGGGTGAACTGGTCCCCACCAAAATAAAAAAATGATTTAAAGGACTTGCTCTGGATTGCCAACTGATGGAATATTACCCCGATGCACAATTTGGCACTGCAAAAGGACCATTACCTGAAACGTCACTTGCTGTATTTTTTTACTTTTTACTGATGAAAGTGTTGAGTTTTTTTCGGGATAATTTGACATTGGCTAAACGAGAGCAAATATTCCACATCCACAATGAACAACATCTGCTCTCAGGGTGAACGGCTAAAGGCCAGCTGTTCTATATGTGTAACATGAACAAGCAGTACTAAATACAGGAGACACTAAATCCTGCCCACCCACACTGGAAAAATTATTTAAAAATAAATAGAAAAAAAAAACACTGGCTAGTTGTTTTGTCGATCTTTATTTAGAAAGTTATCAAACTTAAGAGCTCCATTCGCCGCACGGATTTGAGAGCATCGGAATAAATTCCAATTGATGTTAAATTTAAACGTTAGGTAGTAATCCATGTGTTGTTTTTTTTACCAAACGTGATTGATTGAGAGGCGCAGCTTATCTGTGCCCCTGTTCTCATCACCGCGCGCAAGCAGCGTCAGTCCTACATGTGGGCGACAGAGATTATTCAGCCCGCTTAACGATCAACATTCAAGGTCACGGCCAAAAAAAAGAATTGCGCCAATACCGTTCATGTCCGCCGAACCTTGCCATTACTTCCTTCCTTCTGCTAGATTCTGCAACTGTTGCACAGTCGATAACCAAACTCCAGGGTCTGCTCTTACAAAATCTTAACATCTCGGCCTTGTCTTCGAACACGGACCTTCAATGCCTGGCACGGTCACCTGCCCTCCTCCCCCCTGCACGTGTCCCCACCCATCGAAACCTCTCTCTTCTTGATTACAATTAACACAATCAACACGTTTGTCAATAACACTGTGGCTTTAAAGTAAACGGTCTATAATGGGTGATTATTTTTGAAAAGCAGTTGATTGAATGCGTATGTATGTTGAACTTATTTCGCACCGTACGTAGCCGATCGTGCTAACCGAAGGTGTGGGGGAAAGACAATAAATAAGTAAACAAACACAAAAAGCAGTTCGAAAGAAATGAGTTTTAACTGAACTGTCATTTTGTAAAGAATGCGAAGATTTTTAACGAGGCAAAAATAGCTCACAAGCAAGAAGCGTCTACCTTGAAATAAAACTGAAACTCCAAAAATGAGACCTATAAACGTAATACTTTTCTCGTCTTTAAATTGCTGTGCCTCTCCACAATAATGTCATAAATATAGTTAAATCATTAATGCGCAAACCACAACTGGAATCGGTTTCAGAGGCTTTTACGCTAAAGCTTGGACTATTTTATCATCTCTAAGTGTAGCTTTACGTTTTACGTAGAGTTAAGCATTCATACATGCCGCAATTAAAATATATATTTCAATATGTAAATGTGTTTGAGTCTAAGCGCCCTCACATTTACATGAGCGTGGGTGGGCACTCATATTTGCTGGCAACCCTTGGTGAAACGTTCATATGGCGAGTGTCAGTTTATACTTAAACATTTAACATTTTAAAAAAATCCATAATAAAAAAATATATTGAACTGTTTAATAATGATTAAAGGCAACTATATTAGCCAAACAGTCTATACATAATAATACATCACGATAATTATAACATTTCCATTTTTAATGATAGGCTAAATACTGTTAGTAGCCTCTGCCTGCATATTACAATTATATATTTGAATGCTATTTTATCATAGTTCTGTATTGATTTTGCACCCACAACACATTTTCTCCTCTATCTTACTAATTGTTAATCCGGATTTTTTTTCATGAATGTGCTGAATCTCATCTGGTGTGCACACACACATACACATACAAAGGTCCCCCATATGGCCTTAATATACTCTTCGGGCAAGTGCTGTTCGCGAGCATTTACGAAGGCCGGCAACGCACACGAGGGGGTAGTGTGGTCACCATCATGCCTGGCCGCCTTTGTCTCCCCAGTCCTCGTACCTATATGCCACACCAGATACTCACTTAAGGCTGAGTCAACCTAGGGGAGGCCCAGGACCTGTTCAGATATTCACTGCCACTGTTATCCATGAGTGGGAATCGAACTCGGGTCGTCAGTTTCGCAGTGCAGTACACTCACCACCACGACGCTACATAGCATGTGAAGTGTGTTATATACACATGCGTACACATGCATACAAAAATAGAGATCACCCATATAGCCTTTAACAGACTGTTAGGGCAAGTGCTGTTAGCCACCTATTCATTTGAGGCGGAATAGTCCGAGGGGAGGCTCAGGATTGGCTCAGATAATCGTCAACGGTGTTGGCCGTGAGCGCCAATCGAACCCAGGTCGCCGGACTTCGCAGCGCAACGTTATCACCGCTACACCACCGCGCCCCATGCACACACGTACAACAACAACCGCCACTGAGTGGCGGTGACGTCACCACGGCGCTTGTGCCAGGCTACGTGCGCTTTAAGAGCACGTACACACGCGTACGTACACACACACAGAGAGAGAGAGTGTGAGCGCGTTTACCTCGTCGTCCTGCGGCATCCAGGCCTCGACGGCGTCGCGGGTGCGGCTCACGCTGTCGCGGCTCTCCACAAGCCACGAGCAGCGCAGGGCGGCCGCTCGGTCCCGGCTGCAGCGGCGCACGTGCTCTTCCAGCGCCGGCAGCGTCAGCGGCATCGAGTTCCGCAGCGCGGGCACGTCCACCAGCCGGAACTCGGCGTACCTGGCAGAGGCAGCAACTCATCCATCAGCATTAGCAGCAACAGTAGCAGCAATACCATCACTAGCAACAGCATCATCAGCATTAGCAGCAGCGCCAGTAACAGCAATACCATCACGAGCAGCAGCATCACCAGTAGCAGCAGCAACAGTAGCAGCAATACCATCACTAGCAACAGCATCATCAGCATTAGCAGCAACAGTAGCAGCAATACCATCACTAGCAACAGCATCATCAGCATTAGCAGCAACAGTAGCAGCAATACCATCACTAGCAACAGCATCATCAGTAACAGCAGCAACAGTAGCAGCAGCAACAGTAGCAGCAATACCATCACTAGCAGCAGCATCACCAGTAGCAGCAGCAACAGTAACAGCAATACCATCAGTAGCAACAGCATCACCAGTAGCAGCAGCAACAGTAACAGCAATACCATCATTAGCAGCAGCATCATCAGCATTAGCAGCAACAGTAGCAGCAATACCATCACTAGCAGCAGCATCATCAGTAGCAGCAGCAACAGCAATGCAATCTTCATCATCATCACGGGCAGCAGCAATAATGCCATCAGAATCCTCATCATCAGAAGCAGCATCTATAGCAACATATTCATCACCAGCAACACAAATATCATCATAAATAGCAGCAACGTAATTTTCATCAGCAAAAGTATCATATGCAGCAACATCAGCAGCAGCAGATCAACATCATTATTATTGGCAACAGTATCAGTAAATTTTCTTATAATAATCAACAGCACCAGCGTAGTCCTTAACAGAAACAGCAGCAGCAGGAGACAACAAATCTCATGATGCCCTTCTTTTATTCCCTAGTTCAAGGTCAAGAGGTCATCATTACTAATGGCATTGATGCCACCACACCCGGCCTTTAGCCTCTTTCATTCTGCCCCGGGTCTCTTGGGCTGCTGCACAGGAGACACCCCAGCCGCTCAGGGCCACTCTTACAGCATACCAACATCTGCTATTGGATCTTCCCCTTGATCGCCAACCCTGGGTGTCACATCATTGACTGCCTCGGTAACCGACCCTCCTGCATCCTGCCCTGGGGCTCCACTCATCACAAACCTCCTCCGCCTCCTCCTGATGACGCCTTCACAATATTTCTTTCGACGCTATAATTTGAACATTTCGAGTTGCTCACTCTTATTTATACTTGTGCAGAAAACCTCGCAAATCTCTGCGGACGCCTAGGCTGCTTCATTTACGTGCTCTGTTTAAGTTCAGCTCTTGTAATGTACCTATGGAAAAAAAATAACTGGCAAGAGGAACGAGTCATATCCACCAATGCCTTAAGGGGCTAACTTCAATGAGCAATTGCACAATACTCTACCCAGCATAGGGTGATTTTTGATATTTGGAACAATGTGATTTTTTTATGGATTACGTTTAAAACTGCTGGAGTCATAAAACAGAAATAATAAGAGTCACGGTATCAAATAAATGTACAAGTTTATTTATTTAAATAAATAATTGTAATAATAACTCTATTTGGATCTGAGACCGAGTCAGACATGCGTATGCCATCATGGATTGGCCATAGACCTACAAGAAAAACATCTACTCCCAGCTTTGGGGAGAGAATTCCACACATGTGGAGCCACAGAACGGAAGCAATGTGCACATTGCTTATCAAGGCCGTAGACATGGAGTCAACATTGGGGGGACCAAATCTTCCAGGGGGTCCGGGGGTCCCCCCTCAGAAAAAATAATCTAAATTTAAAAACGAATTCCCTGCCATTTCCTGCCTAAAATATAAAAAAAAAATTCACTAACACATAGGATGGACTTTTTATTTATTTTTTACAATAATGTCTAATAGTGTATTGTATTACATTGCTCTGTTTTTTTCTTTTTTACCTTTTCTTGTTTCATTGTATGTAATGGCAGAGATTAGGGATTAATAAAGTACAACCATAACCACAATCATATAAACAAAAATCTATTTTATAGCAATATTTTGGGGAGGAAGGACATTTTGAGCATATTTAAATGTTGGGGGGGATGTGTCCCCCCCCCCAATATGTGTCCCCCCCCCAATATATATTATAATTACGGCCTTGTTGCTGGATATCTGTTTGACGTTAGGAAGATATCAGTCTGTTGTCAGATATCTTAACAGACAACAGTAGTCGAAATGTAATTTTTTTTCAAAAGCATTTATTTACACAAATGAGAAATACGTGTTGTTCACCTTCATTGTGGCTCTGAACCAATGGTGAGAATTCCACATTCCTATGGCGGGGTCCGGTTTTTCAACAGGAAAACGATAGAGCACTCCTCGTTTTATTAACTTGGGCGCCACTGTTGCGAGATGTTAACTACCTCGCCTGGTATACAGGAGGTCGTGGGATCGATCCCGACCCTGACACTTGCTGTATATTTGACGTTTGCATTTTCTCTCTCTCTCCCTGTGGTTGCATGGATTTCTCTCCGGGTCCTCTGGTTTTTCCCTCCACATTTCGAAACACGCGTTTACAGTATTTGGCTGCGATACATTTCCACACGATGAGCCACTTCGTTTATCATTTGGGGGCCAGGTCACTTCTGAAAGAGAGCTATACAGCTCTGTGGGTATTACCTGGTAAAATAACCGTGTCGGCTCCACCTGGAGTCTGACCCAGTGGCTGCTCGTTGGTTTCTCTTTCGCAAGGCCACTGGGCCGGATATACGGCAAAACTAGAGTTGCCGTGATATCGGAAAACTGCGACGCATCGTGCAATATTGCGTTATCTGTTTTTTTCTAAATATTATGGCAGTGTGGTTATTGGAGTTAATTCAACGTTCGTTAATTATTTTTTTTCCTGGACAAAAATATTTACGTGACAAGAAATTAACTCAATAAATATATAAGTAAATAGATATTAATCAATTAAACCGATGCTTAAAAAAAACAGTTCTGAGTAAAATGCATTCGCCATCAATATTTCTTCAGCATTTTCTTGCTGTGGTTGTCCCACCTGATGAAGATCGCTTGTGTTGTGATCGAAACGTCGTGATTTGTTCTGTTTTATTTTATTTCTACCCACGTGACTTCACCGAAAGAACCAAAGAGAATGGATTCCTGCAGTCACGAAAGCTACAAATCAAAATTGTTCTGAGTAACTATAAATGATAAGTCGTAATTTTTGTGTTCCATGTAAGAATTGTCTGGTGTAGTCAATGGCATGGGCATTAAAAGCATCATTATTTGTAAAGCAATGATTGTAGAGATATGTGGCAGGCGTCGTATGTTGAGTGAACTGCAGCGGAAGAACGTACAAGTGCTGTGCGTCGTTTCTTGTACCGTAAGGGCGTCAATGCACAAAAACTACGCAAAGAGAAACGTGAAAAACAACTACGTGTCACGAGAAAAAATATATTGTGAAAACCGTCACATCTTGTCATTTTAGATCGCATTGCATCGTAAAAAAAAAACATCGCAACAGCCTCACGAAAACCTACCAGCGGATTTGCACAAGAGAGGGCGGCTGCATACGCCATCAATATTTCTGTTTTCTCCTTTCGTTTGATGGTTTCGCAACTGTCTGTTTTTTTTACTCTTCCAGTAAAAACAAATTATTGTTTATTTTACCAGGTAAGGCCCCACTGAGCAATGTAGCTTTTTGTCAGAAGCGACCTAGTCATGAATGATAGCTCAACGAAGTGGCTTATCACGTGTAAATTTATGGAAACAAAAAACTCTAAGCGTATGTTGATTCTAAACGTGGAGGGGAAAACCGAAGGACGCGCGTAAAAATCCACACGGCCACGGGGAAAACATGCAAACTACAAATATACAAGCGTGTGGGTCGAGATCGAATCCACGACTTCCTGTATACCAGGCGAAGCAGATAACATCTCGTTTTTATGCATTGAACAGCAAAATATAAATTGTCCTCTTATGAAGTTGTACATGAAGTTTAAACATTTCTTTCCGAGTATTCTTCTTCGCCTGGTGACGTTCAACAGTTTTCAATATATTTGCTCATTATTTAATGACATTTTTGTGAAGACGATATATGTTGCATTATTAATGTTATTTAATACCACAATTTGCCATTTATGCTAAAGATATCGTGTTTATTTATTTGGACTATTTTTTTCTAATAGTATTAAATATTTGTCCATTTGTTAAAACGCAAAAAATGTACACAAATGAGAAATACGTGTTGTTCACCTTCATTGTGGCTCTGAACCAATGGTGAGAATTCCACATTCCTATGGCTAAAACAACGCGATGGGAGAGATATAATTTGGTGTAAATTCCACATTCCTATGGCAAAGGTCACTCTAACTATATAATGACAATCATTGACTTTCTCACAAAGTGGTACACACTTTATTGACTCATGAGGAATGTGCATTTGACACGAGCACAACATTTTTTTTTTGCGTTTCTAAAATAGATTTTCTCTGTCGCAAACAAAACAATCTGCATTTAGCAAATTGGACACATCTCGCCAACCACCGCTCTCCTCGCCAAATGCAGACAGAATAATTGAAATGCCTATTTATTCTGTCAAACATCCCAATGATTTCCTCCCACGCATCAAAGTAGACAGACAACTGCAAATAATAAGTGATCATCTCACTTTGCAGGCAGTAACTAAATAAAATGCGCCGTTTAATTTCTCTCGAATTATCACTGCTACCAGTGCTTATCTCTTATTTTACTTTAATCGCACCGAGTCGTTTTAAGTGCTATGATTTCGTTATTTTGAATGATGTTGCGTATTTTATTCAATTCTGATGTCTCGCACTGAAAATTTATTTCGCTTCTCGGATTAAGTCATTGATTGGCAAATGGGGTTGAGTAATTGATTTGTAAAGGGGCTTTGCATTCGACGTGTAACAGAAAAAAACACCGCCGACTAACTGCTTATTTGTGGCAATATATCTGTCGTTTTCTCTGATTTTTAAATGTCTTTCCATGTTTTGTATGAACCCCCCCCCCTCAGAAACAAGACGCATATCTCAGTGAGCCGTGCAGAATGTTGAATGAAGAAGTATTTCTGTCTATCGTAGTCCATCTCTCTTTCGCTCCGTTCGGACTGGGTGACTTTGTTGAGGTCACGGAGACTCACAATTGAACGTCTGCGAGTTCAAAGTCCGCCGGGTGCTCAGCTCTGCCCATCGCCACACTTAATTTCACCTTGTGGGAAATCAAGAGCAATTGCCCCTTCGGATAGACTTGTTCCTTGCCATGAGAATACTGAAATTCCATAGCCGCCAACGGAAATCGCTGCCTCTATATTGCGTTTATAAACAGGGACACACTTACAAGTTTGAATGTGAATAATATACACAATCTTCACGTCGTTATAAAAGCGAATTCATCCTCATCGTGTAACTTGTGTGTGGGGGGGGGCGGCGGCGGCGACGACTTGCCTGAGCACGAGTGTGTTCGGCTCTTGCAGCCGAGGTTCGCGGTTCGAGCACCACGGCCGCTCTGGTTAATACCGCGGTCAAATTAATCACGATGCGTTGCCTGCTTTGCGGTGAACATTAAAGATCCCGTGACGTTACTCTAAAATAGAAGACCACCGTGTGTGTGTGTGTGCCGGCACCGCGGTCCAAATTTTAAAGGTTAACCGCAAGTTACTTCATTTCGTAAAAACCACAAAGCAACATTAGCCACTACTACTTATCAGTGAAACGTATCGCCCTTGTAATATCCCTGCACTATGAGAATGGGGCAAATAGCAAATGTACTCAAATAATATCATGATCATTGTTGTTATTAGGCTGTGATTTTTTTTTTTACAGATATCTCCCTTGAAAGGGAACATTTCCATCCTAATGGTCTTTCACCTGCTTGAAATTGCGCATCGCTGATCCGCTTATCTGGCCGCACTCTGCGTCTAGGAGGTAGGCCCCAAAGTGTGGGGGGGGGGGGCACTCGGGCGAGACAGCGGGGGATGGTGGGGGGCGCAGGGCGTCGCGGAGACTCACCTGCGCTGGAAGTTGTCGAGGACGGCCGTCATGACGGGGTGCGTGGCGTAGAGGCGGCCGCTCAGCGCGTCGCGTGCCCGGCCCACGGCGTCGTGCCACGGGAAGCGCTCTCTGCCAGCCGAGTTGGACGGCTGGGAGCCCGGGAACAGCAACACAGCGCGTGAAACTCATCACGTGCGTGCGTGCAACTCTTCACGTGCGGTGCGTGCGTGCACTTACGCATGCACACACGCTAAGTCAGCCCCATAGCCTCGCCGGAGCTGGAGGGGGATCACCCTCCATCCATCCCCCTCCCACGTTCCACCACCCCACCACCCACCGAAGGGTCACTCCGTCTGCTCGGCGCAGAGGGTGACCACCGCGGAGAGGGCGAGTGTGGATCAGCCTCGTGCGCCGAAATCATTTTGTTACGATTGTTTGTGCTCCGTCCGCTGCAGCTGGGCGACATTGCTCGTGTGCCCGTGAAGTGTATTTGAGAAATAAATTGCGATGAATGTTAATTGCCCGCATGGGCAGTTGTACAGGTGTGAATTGCATGTGTCTGTGTCATTCTGCACCCGTAAGTGTACACGTACATGTCGAATATTCAGAGATAGAAGTCGCTGTTGAACAGTTTTGAGAACGATATATCAAAATTATATATATATACAAAACATACTATCTTACGTTATCAAAACCCTACCAATCACTCCATCTATTTTTGCCATGAGGTGGTTGGTGTACAACAACTGGCCTTCGTATTCAGACAATGGGCGGGTGCAATTGTTGTTTTCTCATAATTTCGCGATCAGAACATATTCAACATCTCTCAAATAATATACCCGGCCAGCAATGCAACACACACACGCATATGTATGTCAACACATATGAAATAATTTGTATGCATGCATCTGTGTTTTCATTCAATCGCCAGAAAAAGCACTCAACAATGGCTTAATAGCCACTTTGAAATGTGTAAACAGAAAAAAAAACACCACTCAGATTTGCCTGGGAATATTAAAAGACTCATTAACCACCTCCATCCCCCCTGTCGTATGAACATCTATTTGTTTATTCAATTGTGCATAGCGTCGGGCCGTGCTAAAATAAAAAAACATCCACTTCTACAGCGTAATTTAATTTGAGACTGACGAGAAGTTTCATTTGTTTAGTTCTGTGGCGCAACAGTCGGAGCGCAGCAGCTGCGGCAAGGGAGCTTCAACTCAAGAGTCTGCTTCTTTTTTTGTTACCATCTCGGAGAACGTCAATCAAAAGCCCGCTTTTGGCAAATTAGTTTGAAAGTGCCGGCTGCAGCAAGCGGGGCGATCCGAGCCGGCAGAACTTGTCTAGCTGTGTACAGCAAAGCAGCCGGCAGATTAAGGCGCCCGCAAGGAAATGTTTTCCACGTACCGTAGGGGGAACAACTGCCTGTGAAGGAATGGGTGCACGGCTCGCGAATTAAATGAGAGAATGCAACCGACACGCTGTTAAATGCGGTTTTTGCAATCTGCGGAACAACCGGCGATCCGCCGTTCGTCGCTACAAACTTGCCGAGAGGAAAACACCGTTGCCGATTCGCGCTTTGCAAACCACTCGGTGTGTTTGTGTGGCTGTCGGTGGGCTTTATTCCGAAGGTGCCATTCAACTGCTAGAGATGTTCGCCCAGGTTTTTATTTTATTTAAATACGCAATCCAAATAAACGGCGGGTTATTGAAACGTACGACCTGGATTGTCACGACTAACGAAGTCCGTCCGCTACGAGCCGCGCATTTCATGATACCGTTACGGAGTGAACGCTCTCAAGGCGACAGACTGCCGCGCGGGGGGAGATGACCCCGCTCTCACGATGAACGCCACCATTGTGCGCAGAGTGCGGAGGTGCTTACCAATAAAGCGTTTTGCCGTCACGTTTAATGAATGTGCCACCTCCCGGCATTGTAGAGGACGACGTTTCAATTTTCGTTGTGCGGCAAATTAAGTCGATGTTTTTTTATTTTTCATCGGGTTGCGTTTGTATTTATTTTGTATAATAAATTATCCATGTAGACATATTTAGGTTTGTTTTTCCTTTTGGTAAATTTATGTTCTTGAGTGCCCATTGGGATGCATGACTGCTCTTGAAGGGTGTAGACACGAGTTATTTTCTGTAAACAGCAACGATAATGATTTCAATCTTGATTTAATTATTTATATGAGGAATTGCCTAAACATCCCAAATAACATTACCTTGCCTCTTGTTAAAATAAAAAAACAACTTTTCGAACATATCAACATCAAATTAATTTTGTGAAACAAATTTTGTTAAATTAATTTGCCAAATGTTGTTACGAGCAGATTTTAAATTGATTCGTTTTGCAACTGCTACTAAAAAGGAGCAATCTAAACAAAATATTAATAACCTAAATAATATAAATAATTATTGACGAAAATAAATTTCGGTTTTTTATTTTCATTACACAGCAGAAGGGAATTCATTGCAAATTCCCCTGCATAATTTACCGAATCACTACGGGTCGCATCTTTTTAGCCAAGAGGGGCCACTTAATACCGGCGCATGAGGGGCGATTGAGAACTCCATGGCCTGATATAGAAATGAAGGTGTTTTTATTTTCTGTATTGGACAATTTTATACGATAGTTTTTACAAAAACATCTAATCTGCGCATGGAAGAACTCTCCATACTGGTTCTCAAACGAATCGTTGCGCGGCACGCATAAGTTCACTGCCACTCGGAGAATGTTTCAAACGCCGAGCGATTCTTGAACTGTTGAAACACGTGGAAGCCACCGAGAGCCGAGTGTGGTGAGAATGGTTTCTCTCTACATTTCCCTTTTTGTAAGGAATTTCTTCATTTACCCTACAAATGTTTTCCGTTTGTTCGAATTCGAAATAAACAAGCAACGTGATTTCAAACACCATTTAAAATCTATGAGTAAATCAATCTGCCTACTGCTCATACATTTGGTAACTGCTTTTATTTGACGAAAAAACAACGCACTGCGAATTGAGCATTTACACGTGTGTTGCCCTGCTGACGGTCAGGCCGTGGATATTGAGACCAGCCCTCTTTGTGACAAATTCGATCATTTTTCAACGTCACGCCACGGCGCTTTGCGACCACCCCGTTCGCGCGCCGAGGGAGCCGGTAATTTGTAATGTGTCGTTAAAGCAATCAACGACGGACCGAGCGTTTAAATGTTTCGTACGTGGCTGCCGTCAAAGGTCAGGCCGTGGATTTTTGTGGCCACCCCTCTTTGCGAGACACGTGCGCGGTAAGGGGGGGAGGTAAGGAGAGCCGTGGTTACCTTTGGGGGCAGCGCCGCGAGTCCGAGGCGAGCCTGCTCGCGCCGGTCCAGCAGGACGTAGTCGAGGACAGCCTTCTTCATGGCGCGCTCGTACTCGTCGCACACCTCCTGCGCCGGCGCGCAAGGACGGGCGAGATGCAGTCACCCCGCCGCCGCCACCACAGCCACTCCCGGGTGCGTGCCACGCAGCCAACACCATCAGATAAGACAAAGATCCCCCGTGTAGCCTGAACAGACTGTTGGGGCAAGTGCTGTTAGCGAGCAGTACCTATGAAGGGCGGCACGGCACACGAGGGGGTGGGTGGCCAGCACCGCGCCTGGCCGCCTTTGTCCCCCAAGTGCCGATGTTCACTGAGTCGACATAGGGGAGGCGCAGGACCGGTTCAGATAAACGTCACCGGTGTTGGCCGAGAACGAGAATCGAACTGGGGTCGCCGGGTTCGTCGCGCAGTGCGCTAACCGCTTACGCTCCCGCTCCCCGCTATATGTGCTGTAAGTTCGTGCGTGCATACATACACACCAATATATGTCACTGAACGTCAGCCTGTTCTGGAGTTATCTCGAGATGGAAAGGTTCTGGAAAGTTGACAAGGAATGAACGAAGCCCCCTCGTCGTGCCTCATGCACAACGAGGATGGCGCTAACACCAAACGTGGTTGTCCCATGGCTCGACTGACACCAACCAGAGGGATGTGGAATGTTCAACACAAGCCTAGGGCTTGAGGAGGCAGACACACTCCGGATAGACTTTCAAGACAAATCTCTACCATTCTATCCTGGTCGCGAGCACCCGTTGAACCTGGCATGGCATTCAAGGGGGTGGTGCGTGCCCACCAGCGGGTGCCTCTTGAGGACTGCTATTAACCAATCCCATTTAACCCCTAGATGACCTACGAGAGAGAGCGAAGGCAGTGTCAGGTAACCACTTCCCAGCTATGCGTGTGGCTGAGAATTGCCCTGAGGTCGGCAGGATAAGATGCTATTGCGCCCGCTACTGCGTGACCACTCGCCGCGCGCATGCGCACTCGCAAAAGTGTGCACGCGCACAGACATGCGCACATCCTAAGGCAAAGATCCCCTGTATAGCCTGCACAGGCTGTCGGGGCAAGTGCCGTTCGCGAGCACATATGAAGGCTGGCACAGAACACAAGAGGGTTAGGTGGCCGGTGCCATGCCTGGTTGCCTTTGTTTCCATAGGTACTCATTTCAGGCTGAGTCGACCTAGAGGAGGACAAGGACTGTTTCTAATATTTGCTGATGATTTTTGCGGTAAAAAGATATCAAACGCAGGTGGCCAAGTCATTAGCGCGCTGCGCTAACCGCTGCACAAGTTCCTGCACACTCGTACACAAGATTAAGACAAATATCCCCCTGAAAGCCTCAACTGACTTTTGGGGCAAGTGTTGTTAGCGAGCACCTATGAAGGCCAGCACGGTACACGAGGCGGTGGGTGCCCAGCACCACACCCGGCCGCCTTTGTCTCCCTAGTGGCGGTGCTTACAAACAAGCACCAGGTACTTATTTTAGGCTGAGTTAATCTAGGAGAGTCCCAGGACCAGTTCAGATAATCGTCACTGGTGTTGGCCACGAGCGGGAATCGAACTCGGGTCACCGGGTTCATAGCGCAGCTCGCTAACCGCTTCACTATCACCCCCACACTCGTTCATACACATGTGCGCACAAAGACACACGCACAATCACATGCACGTGTGCACGCGAGCACAACCACATGCGTACACACACGCGCGGACACGTGTACACAAATATTAGTGTGCACGCACACACGCCGCACATACACACGTGTGCACATATTCAAAGATCCCCCGTATAGCCTCAAACAGACTGTGGAGGAAAGTGCTGTTCGTGAGCACCTATTAAGGCGAGCACGGCACATGGAGCGGTGGGTGGCCAACATGCATACATACACGCACGCACATACACACACGAACGTGTATGTAGACACGTGCACACACACGAGACTGGCTGACTCCGAACACCAAATAGATGACCTTTGCAAGGAATCAAGAACTGCATTAACCAAACACAGTACTTGTGGTGAACATGCAAACGAACATGCTCCGATAATATTTGGCATTGTCTTTGAATCTGATTGGTCTACACCAGGTCCCATGATATAGGACATGATTTGTGCAAAATGTCAGAAGAAATGCACGACAAAATATTTTTTTAGTTTTTCAAAACTGCCGAGCCCAGCCTCAACAATCGCCTTCATTCAAGTCGGAGCGTCATTATTCATCGACAGTGAGATGGCACCGATCTGCGTTGGTGGATAAGAGCCAGGGGTGGAAATTCTACATTCCTATGGCAGGGGCGAGTCTGTGCGCTGAACCACCATTGTCAGAGTATCACACAAATGTTACTCGTCGTATTATCGCTCAAGGCTTGATGGGTTTGCATCGACTTCTGCTCCTGATACGGACTTGCAACCTTCCCAATTGTCACCGCAAAGCACCCGAGTTTCACTGGCATCGTTACGCTGGGTCGTGGATTTAATTTCCCTTTCACAAAATTCCACGTGGCTATTTTGATCCGAAAAAGGATCAATAATTAAATAACTCTTATTTAATAATAAATATTAAATAACTAAATAATAAAACAATCGCGGCGGAAGCACGTGCAACTCAGATAATGTGTTTGGGATTCAATATACACAAGGCGCTTTGTGTAATTTGGAACCAACGATTTGCTGAGCGAATGGGAATCAATTAGTATTCATGCCACTAATTAAATGGGCACTGGTTTATAAATACATATATATAAAACTATTGCGAATATTTTTTGTCTCATTTTATTATATACATTCGTTCGCTTTATGTTTTAATGGAGACGGAACCTAATGATGTCTAATGAGAGAATTAAAGTGATATTAAGTGCATGCTATGCACACACGGTATAATAATAGTCTCAAGTTGTACCAGGAGCATGCAAGACCCCGTTGACTTTCATTTTTAACTCGCGCCAAATGAGTGCTCCGCTACATTTCATTCCGAATATCGCGTGCCAACTATAACATGTAAAAAAAAAACGTTGATTAGAATTTTAATGATTATGTATATCATAAAACGTATACACAATTTACTTTTAGAATATTTTTCTGAAAACATGATGAATACTCTCTTTTTTATATACACACAAACATATGCACATATACACACAAACATTATGTCCTGTGTGCATATATATGTTACATTCACAAGAATAATATTGGTTTTACTTTATATAGTGTTGGGGGAATTTCTGTCAGCAAGCATCTAGATATGTTTAACTCTTGATTCTTGCACCTCACCTTTCATTTTAGGCCGAGTCCACCTAAGGGAGGTTCTGTCAGGTTCTTATATAATTTAACAAAACCTAGACACCGATGAATTTACATTGTCAGCGCATATTCGTAGACGCGCAGGCACTTTCACAAATACTCAAATAATTAAAACTGCAGTTTTGTATTATCTTGGAGTGGAAAATCAACAATTTGTAATTTTAACCTAGCGTATGAATGTATGTCACACCGTGTGTGTGTTTTTTTGCGTGTTTTGAAGTTACAGCAATAACGTATTTTAAGAATACAGAGACATAACTGTGCTTTATGTACGTATGTTGAACTTCGTTCGCGCCGTACGTAGCCAACCGTGCGAGTCAAAGGTGCGGGAGAAAGACAACAAACAAAAGGCATCTTCTGAAGGACTGGATATTTAGTCCCAGTTCACGGTACGACTTTCACTTCATGTCTCACGCGCACAACAAATCGACGGATGTCACACTCGCGATTTCATGGAAGGGGGTGAAACCCCAACAACTTAAAAAAATATCAACAGCACGCTTACACACACACATACATACACACTCTCACCGCACGCACACCCACGTGCAAGCCAACACATCACCTGATAGCCGAGTGACAATTCCATCAGAGCTAACAATGGATTCAAACGGCCGCCACCTGCCTTACCTTTGTGAGGTCGTGCAGATTGTCCTTCCAGCAGAGCCTCAGTGGAACGGGAAGGAGGGACAGCGTGCCTTTCATCCACTCCGGGCACAGCGGGGACAGCATTTGCTGATCTATGGCCGTCTCGATCAAGCCATGATATCTGCAGGGACAGACACACGGCACCAGACATTGATCCTTCCCTTTCTGCCAAGTCGACGCTCTGTCTCCTATCTGTATCCCATCGCTCTCCCCGCCCTCTCTGTCTCTTTACTTCTTCCTCTCTCTCTCTCTCGCTCTCTCTCTCTCGCTCCGTCTCGTTGTTTTCATTTCGCGAGGCGCGTCTCGATCCAAGGACGCTCAATTATCTTTACGCTTTCGCTGCGCCCCCCTTCTTCCGTCGGTCCAGCGCCACGGGCGGAGCGCGCCGCCTCTACGTCTCGCCGCGCGGGCTTAAGAAAGCCTCGCCGCTCCGTCGTGATACCGAAGGCTTTCATCTTTGGCCCAGGGGAGGGTGGCGGTGGGGGGCAGGGGAGGAGGAGCGATGGAGTGGGGGGGGGGCGGTAGGGGGAGGGAGGGCGAGAGAGAGGGGGGGGCAGGCAAAGGGCTAACAGCTCTTGGCACATCGCGGCTACTCGTTCCATCCACATCATGCCCACCGCTCAGGTGGTCGTCTGGGCCAACCCAAGTCATTAATACGTGTCAAAGCAATCCCAAATCTATATATATATAAATGGGAGAGAGGGGGAGATGAAAACCCAGCAAAGTTCCCAGACTACTGCTATTGAAATGAAACTTAGGCGAGCAATGGTGTGGCAGTGGTGTGCAAGCGCTGACTGAAAAACATCTTCGCCAGCAATAGCTCCCACTTCATTAACATTGCCTTACAACAGAAATACAGCAGGTTGCGAGTTCCTATTCCAGTCGGAGGACAACTTGAGCTCATTATCCCTCTCTGCGCTCACTGAAATAGGTTCCACTCCGTGATAAATATTCACAGCTTGTCCTATGGAGAGAGAACAAAGAAAAACCTGTCCCTTGTCATGGAAATATGGAAATGCCACCACTGGTTGAGGGCAGGTAATGGAACGTGAGAGCTGTCACATCGCTCGTTTGAGCAGAAAAAAACACTTGGATTTGATCAAATATAATTCAGCAAGCCAAACATTTCAGACAATGGCACTCGTTCTTCTTCGTAATAAATAATCTTTTGTTTTGTAAGGCGGTGTGAGTGATGACAGAGGTGAGATTTTCCAGTCTACGCTTTCGTAGCTACGCCTGCATATAAATACTCGTGTATATTCCCTCACTTTATCGTATCTGCTTATTAATTCTGCACCCTCAGAGTATTATCGCTGCACGCATGCACGCCCAAATCGGCAACGCTAAATGAGGAGCTTTTGTTTCCATATAAATTGCAACAGATAAGTGCACACGCACGCACAAACACATAAAAGCTAAGATAAAGATCCCCCATTTATCTGAATAGACACTTGGGGAAAGTGCTCTTAGTGAGCACCTATTAAGGCCGAGCTAAAGGCATTCTGGAGAACAACTTGCTCAGCCGCCTTTGTCTCAAGCAACACATTTCCTTCCCCGACGAGCTTGCCCCACGTGTTGGAAATATGCCGCAAAGCAATGACCGCGACTTGCCCGCCTCGCAATGCCTCCGCACAAACGCAAATACATTCGAACGCGAACGCTCGAACCCACGGCAGGGACTCCACGCGATCACTCGACGTAGAAAACAAGGACCGCGTGTCCCACTCGAACTACGGTTACGCTGTTGGGGATTGCGTTGACCGTGAGCACCTACGAAGACTCGAGAAAGCGAGCTGAGTGGGTGGGGGTTGGCGGGTCGCCGATGCGTCTGGCCAACGTTGGCAACGTGTCGCAGGTGCTCGTCAGTTTTGGGCTGCGTCGACGGAGGGTGCTAAACACCGAGGAGGTGTTTCTCGTGCCCTTCGTCGCTGTTGCGCATCACGAGGAATCGAAGCTGCGTCACAAAACCCGTCGCGTAAACTCAAGGACCGTGAACATTGCTGGCGAGCTCCTATTGAGGTCAACGCCTCCGATTAGCGCGGTTGGCTATGTACGATGCGAAAGAAGTTAGACATACAACATGAAGCATGGCAAGTACACCAGTAGTAGTAGTAGGTCGTGTGGTAACACCACCTCCTCATGCGTTAGTCACTCAAGTACTGGCGGAATGTTTCCATCCAGTGCCAATGTTCACACGCACAAGCACACACTTTTGCCAATAACTTTTTGAAGGCTGAGTCGACCTAGCAGCATCCCAGGACGGGTTTCAGACATCGCTTTGCCGCTGATGCGCACGGGGTACGATGGAAATGCGATGAAAGCAGACGCGTGCGTGATGTGCTCATAACGCACAGCCACACAACGGGCACACATGGACACACAACAGACACACAACAGACACACAACAGACACGCACGGGCACAAACAGGCACACACGGGCACACAGGGGCTCGCTTGGCGGAAGCACCGATAGTGAGCACTGCGTATATGAGAGGGCAGCATACCACACGGCAAGTGCTTGCGTTGCATTTCACGCGAGTTTACCGAGGGAGGGCCCAGGATAAGTTCACATACCAAGTAATGACCACCATGTCCAATAGGGGAGTTTTTTGTCAGTATCAAAATGATGCGGAAAAACGAAGAATAGCCTTCATCCTTACTGGCAATGAAGTCTATTCGCATGTTTTCATCACTTTGATACTAGCAAAACGGTCCCATAGATATACCTGCTCAACCCGAACTAGTAACGCTTTGATACTTGCATCGCCTTTGTACCATTCGCCTGTTGGAGTTCTCTGGCCTAACCCTGGTAGTGAGGCAAGGCCATAAAGAGGCTGCCCTCTGGTGTAGGCCAATCCGTTTCAAAGGCAATGCCTATATATTATCAGGCCATGTTTGTTCGCATGTTTAGCCACATGCATGTGCGGTCAATGCAGGCTTGATGCCTTGCAATAGGTATCTATTTGGCGTTTGAACGGTTTATTGCCAGAAAGGGTAAAACCTATTCTTCTCATCACCTGGTCAAGAAATGAGAATGGGGCGATCGCGCACTTTCTTGCACACTTGTGCACCAGCAAGCAGACGGCAGATTTGATTGACGAAACAAGACGAAGGTGCCCCACATTAGCCAGTGCTGTTAGCGAGCAACGATGAAGGTTGGGACGACGGCACATTGGAGGGGATGGGTGGCCAACACCACGCCCGGCTGCCTTTGTCTCCACAGCCCCGGGATGCTTACACATCAGCGGGAATCCAACTCGGGTCACCAGTTCAAAGACGATTGATTTACACACTCGCACGCTCAAAAGAGAGCCACCTCATGCGCAGGCATTCCCGAGAAAGAGCCCGAGATTGGGTGGATACATAATGAGGTTTCAAGTGCCATTCTCGATATGCAGACAAGTGTGCGACTGCAAGAGAATTAAAACTTTGCTGTCATGATCCAAAGGCACAGCAGACAGTCTGCATTAGGCTGAGAATGTCTTCTTCATACGGAACCGTGTTACGTTCAATATAGAGACAGGATTGGTATTCGAACAAAAGCCACTAATGCCACCACAACTTTCCATCCCACCCTTCCTCCTGTTAGATCGTGCAGATGTTTCAAAATTGCCATGCCACCTACAAGGTCTGCTTCTGCGGAACATCTCCATCTGGCGTTTGGTCTCCCCTTTGTCGCAATCTTCTGGATGGCACTCTCATCACCTCCCAGGGCACGCTACCCTCCTTGAAAACATTCAGAGTGCTTTCTGGCCACATACAAAATCTTAATTCCAAGTGGCCCACCCTATCCTGACATCACATTACCAGAATGCTCCACGTACCTCGATATGAAAGACGCAGGCTTATCCTCTAGGAGGTTTGTTAAAAGTTCGCTCTGTACATATCTCATCCAAACGGATAGTGCAGCGGTTAGCATACGTTGAGAGTGCGAGTTCAAATCCGTGTTGACAAGCTAATAGCAATTGGTCTACACACTCTGCCCTGACATTGCAATGTGGGCGTCACGGTGGCGAAAAGTTAATTCCCTTGCCTGGTATGCAGGAGGTCGTGGATTCCATCCTGACCCTGACGCCTGCTGTATATTTGGAGTTTGCGTGTCTCTCTCCCCGTAGTCACTTGGATTTTTCTCCGGGTCCCCCGGTTTTTCCCTCCACAATTAGCAGCATGCATTTAGTGTATTTGGTTGCTATACATTTCAACGTGCTAAGCCACTTCCTTTGAGCTATCATTTGTGGACAGGTCGCTTATGAAAAATAGCTACAATGCTCAGTACGGCGCGTCCAGAGCCCAGACGTAAAGCGCTGGTGTGGAATTCCTCATTCCTGCGCCGTGTTCGTGAAACATCACGAGCAGCTCCCCCCGGGGGAGAGTTTGCACTTCCAATTGGCCGCTGCAAGAGCGCTCGTGCTAAGGGTTAGGATTGGCGACGGACGCTGGGCTTATTGCCCCCATAGGAGGCCGATGGTGCGCGGGCGACGCTCATAATCCGAGCGCATCTCGTCCATTAATCCTGCGAGGATCCTTATCTCTGCCCGGCGCTCGCTCCGATACTTTTGAAGGTCAGGACGTAGGCAGCGCTCACGCCGTCAGATAAAGCGACGACAAGGGTTGCCAAGTCTCGAGCAAGGTCTGCGTTAACGCTTTCACAGACAGCGTTGTGCGTGCGCGCGCGCGTGCGCGTTCGTCTTTGGGCGCGTGCGTCTGTGCATCGGGCGCGGGGAGCGATAGTGTGGCGATCGGTGCACTGCCCAAAAACCCCGGCAACTTGGGTTCGATTCGCGGCCGCGCGAAACATCGACAAGTGCCGTTTAAGCCCCTCCGACGTACGGCCCCCGAAAACACGCGCCGCGGAGCTTTGCAGCGCAGCCACGTAAACCGACGCTCCCTACTGTGTGCTCCTCCGAGGTGGACTCGGCCTTAAACCAGATTGTGTGTGGAGCATTCAAGAGGCGAATTGGCGGCGGGCCGCGGTGTAGGTGACACCCCACCTTAATAGGTGCTCACTAACGGCACTTTGTCCGGAACTGTATGGCTACACGGGGGACCGCTGTCTTTGTATACGTTCCAGCTGGGACGGTGCTGCCAATTAAAGCCATAATCACGATAGGAATGTTTGGA